GTATTCATTGCTTGTCTTGTAAGGCCTACCTTACATTTTGGCATCCATGCACAAAGTGGGGATTGCTTGGTCCAGGTGTTCCTTGGATCCTACTTTATGAATTGAATGAGCAGATCTTTCTTCTATGTGCATATATGGTGATGGAAACAGAAGAACCCGTGCACACTGCTGATACATGTTTGAAATAATCATTTATAGCTCACTGATGCATGATAGTGGTGTGGTACAGTAGCAACTCACTGTGGAAAAAACCCAAGTAATAAAGAACCAAGTAGCAGTGGAAGAACCATTGAGAAATTGGCTTGATTCTGGTTTACCTTTTGGCACAGTGTAGAGCTAGCAACTAGAGAACTGCTATTCCTGAGGGGGAGAAAAAGTAGCCTCTTTTCATATGAAGAGATAAGAAGCAAGGCCTTTCCTTTTCTTACATCCCGGAGATAAAAATCAACAGCACAGGAGGTAGTCACTGACCCTGGTTTAGCCACCTTTTTTTTTTCATCAGAGACTGGGGATTGCTGAGGTGCTCTGGAGACAGTAGTTTTTGCCAGGCAGCAGTCAGGGACATTTCCCACACTGGTACTGTCCTTCACAATGGTCTTAAATGGGAGGATCATCGAATAGTTTGGGTTGGAAGGGACCTTCAAAGGACATCTAGTCCAACTCCCCTGCAGTGAGCAGGGACATCTTCAGCTAGATCATGGTAGAGAGTTTGGTGCTTGGTGCAGCCTTTGTATATTATGTATTTGAATATATACTGTCTATTTCAAGTATAACATGATATCTGAAATATACTTTTTTAATTTGTGTGGTCACCTCTAGTGACATATAGTTGAGGTCATGATAAATATTAGCATTATTTTCAGTGCTATTAGGAAAGAAAGGATGACCAGAAGAGCTTCTTTGTAAACGCCAAACTTCTGCTGACAGCAGAAGTTCTCTTAAAAACGGAGAACTTAAAAAATTTTAAAATTTTTAAAACTTTAACATGCCTTAACTTGATAGTTGCAGTTATAAGTTATCTGTGTTTGGCTTTTCTTCTGTTCCAAGTGTGAAGGCAGAAATTTGTCAGTAAAGAGACAGAATACCTTTGCTAAATTTTTAATCTTTTAATTGAGGAAACATCTTAGTGACAAACAGAAATTAATGGGCTGGAAGAAAATGGCCACACGTTGCAGTTCTCCATATCTAATGAAATCTTGCAAGATGGTTTTCTGTATTATGGAATATGGCTCAACGTGCAATTTTTCTATGAATCATTCTGTATTAATCTAGCTGTTGAATTTTTGAGCCTTTCCAGTATGTAGTGATTCTGGGTAAGTTTCATGTATCACATTTCAAATCTAGTTATGGGGAAACAGTTAATCTAATGGATTCAGCTGCGTCCAGTGTAAGAGAGGCATATGACATTCAGTAATTTTGACATTATAAAAATAAAGTACAAAGTGGTATCGCAGGGTACTTCAAATTGCATGAAAGACAGTCTGAAAGCTGTCCAAAAATTTGTTCCAGGAAGTCATTGAGCCTGTAAAAATAGCCTTGACTTTTCTAGGGTATACTTGAAGCTGCAAACATTGTTCATCCTGAGACTAATAAAGGAAAACACAGATCTTGTTTGATTTTTCTGTCTAGTTAGTAATGATGATAACTGGGGAAAGATGGCAGATCCTCGTTTGTTAAGACCCATGGGTATTGTCTGTCTATGATTCTTGTCACTGGCCTCTAATTTCTTTCAGTTCAGGTAATCCCCATCCTAAACTTTAACCTTCCTGTATTTGCTCAGTCTTCAAATTCACTTTCATGCTCTCCCATATGTCTGGAACTTTCTCTTGCCCACAGCATCCATCCTTCCTTCCCCATTTATTTTATACCTTTCTTGTGGCCACTTCTTCAGAGAGCTGCATGGATATTAATAGCATTGCATTATCTTTTAACCTTCCTGTGTTGTCAGGAAAACATTTCCCTTTGTTTCTTCCCCTCTTTCCCCTCCCCCGCCCCCCACCCCAGTCTAAGCAGATTTCTTTCTATTTTCATTATCTTTGAAGAAGGAAACATTGTGCTAATTATATTTCTAAGTCACCTTACCAGTAAAATGTCACACTTTCCCCAAGTGTCAAAAACTGCAGAACTGGGGATATTTGTAGTACCAGCAACTATAGCCAATCTATGGAGCCTGTGATGTTTAGGAGAACTATGCCATGACAAAACTGTGTGAGAAGTCCGATCACCATGAGAACATATGTGGACACACACACATAGACACATAAATCTATTAAATTTAAAACAGCAATCTCTCTCTGAAATTATGCTTTCTTTTCTCTGACAGTTTCTTTCATCTTTTCATTGTTTTTTCTTGATTGGAATTGCCAGGTATGAAAAAAGAGTTGAATTTAGGGATATAAATATAAGGAGCTATTGAACAAAGCTATTTAGTACAAAATGAAGATGTGCAGGCCATATGGTTGCTGTCCTCCTGTAACATTTACATTGCCATATAATCAGTCTACCCCATTGAGAACCCTGGGTTTAAAATCCTGCGATCAGATGCGCATTGGCAAACCACTGGTCTGACACTAAATTCTTACTGGGGTGAGGGAGACACCCTCAAAGGTGCAAATCTTCCCCAGCAGAGATCTTAATTGCAGAGTGGGAGACACGGCACTGCTTGGCATAAAACATGATGGCAGAAAGAATTAGATCTTTTTGGGGAGAAAAAAAGTATACAATCCACCAGACTGAGCCAGAATATCACAGGGTAGCGTAAACCTGGTTTTGATAAGACTGATTGTTCACTGCAACATCAACGTCAATGAGTCCCCAACTGATGCAGTTCAGAAATCCAAACACAGGAACCAGAAAATGGCTTTGTTACAGATAATTTCAGTTTTAAATAAATGTAGGATTTTATTAGCTTACCAACATCAGAAAATAAGCAGGCTGTTAGATGCATGGCAATACATGCACACCATAACTCAATGACTTAATTTGAACTTCCGTATCTCAGTTTGAAGAAAAAGCAAACATTTATTTGTAGTCTTCTGTTTTGAGATGTTAATCCGTTGTTTAGCAGCATTTGTGTGCAGAGCTGCACAACAGCTTTAGTGGGGCATCAGTTTAAATTTAGAAATGTTTCCTGCAGGCACAATTTAAAATAATACAAGTAGGTAAGCTGTACTTGTGGATAGATATATAGCTGTATCTATAGCTATATAAGTAGGTCTACACATCTAGGTATGTAGTTAATAAATTTAGATATGTAGGTCTGTAGACCTATATAGCAGTTATGCTTGTCTATACATGTATATGTACCTGGGGCAAAGGGTAGAGAGAGAGAATGGGTATAAACCGGAGCACAGGAGGGTCCCTCTGAACATTAAGAAACACATTTTTACTGTGAGTGACCAAGCACTGGCACAGGTTGCCCAGGGAGATTGTGGAGTCTCCATCCTTGGAGATACGTAAAACCCATCCAGACATAGTCCTGGGCAGCCAGCTGTAGGTGGCCCTGTGTGGGCTGGGGGTTGGACCAGATGTCCTCTGGAGGTCCCTTCCTACCTCAACCGTTGTGGTAGGTTTTTTCCAGCATCTGCTATAGTGACATGACCCCTATTACCATTGTGTAAATGCTTCACTAGTTTTAATCTGGTTGTCCTTTCGGCATCCTGTGAGTTAGAATAAAAGGTTTGGGCTAATACTTTTGTGTAAAATACATCAACATCTTCTAAGCTGGGAGTGAGGTTGAAAGATAATTTTCAAGTGGGCGTGTGTAAAAGATGTCATTTGGGTCTTTGGTGTCCTTGGCTTCTTTCAAAATCCCAACTTTTGCATAGCCTGTGGAGCCTAAGGTTATAAATCATGCATGGCAGAGAAAGTGAAGTGAATTTTGATCTCCAGGCCCCAAATGAATATTCTGAGCTTCTAGAACTTTTCTGTGACAAAGTAATGCATATGCTTGTAAAACCTCTTCTTAAGCGTGACGTCAAAGTAGCTCAGTTACTATAGAAAACAAAAAATGGTAAGAGTAAGGATTCTGGAATGATGTGTTACAGGAGCAGAACTGGCAGAGTTATGCTAGCCAGCTTTATGTGCCTGTATTCCCACTCCTTGAGCAGCCTTTTATTTTATTCAGCCAGCTATGCTGTTCACTTTGCAGTGCAATGTATTTTCTTCCAGATGGGAGAATAAAGCACCAGATCATTCTGTTACGGTTGATCTGTCAAGCAAAAAAAATAACACACTTAAATGCAAATAGGTGGTTATGGTAAGAGTTGATTAAATTCATGTGATAGGACTGATTATTTTTTCCCCCATTTTGATTTTAGCTCAAGGATAGCATGAGTCAGCTAGACCTAAAGCTGCTGAAAAATTGGAAGTTGTACTTGCAAAGAAAAAAAAGGTTTTTGAGTTTTTTCTGCAGGCAGATATAAGTATACATTAAAAATAATAGATTAGCTTGGAAGGCAGCAGTGAAGCTTAAAAAAAAAAGTCCTACACAAAAAGCATCCACATACCTGGTATGTGTTCTAACTGCCATTTATATCCAGGGCAAGAACTTTGAGCTTTTAATTTCAGATTTCCTTTGGTCTGAGTGAGAGATTACCCAAATACACATAACAGAACTTGCCACAGAATAGTGTTTTTGAAGAGAGATAATTCTGTTACATACTCTGAGTTTTCCTGAAGTTTCCAAAGCTTCCAGTGAGAGTACCTCCTGAACAGTTCTGTCAAGTTCCTGTTTTGGTAGCAAAAGCAGACAGGCTTTCTACTTGTCATTATTTTAGTGAAGCCGAATTTGTGACCTCTGTTAACTGCAAATACAAGACTATTTTCCATGTGAAATGATACGTACATTTGAAGTTAACTAGAAATCTCTCTGCCTTTCAGTGCTTGTCATCTTGTTTCTTCCACGTGAAGTGGCTGTAACTCATACTACAGTTGAAAGCACATTTTTAAGCATTCTGTCATGTAACATCTTTGTACCTCTACATTTTTCCCCCTCTCAGAGACTATGAAGAAGATATTTCAAGAAAAGGGCATTTTGGCAGGAGAAGAAAGACCTTTTAAACCACATCTGACCTTCATGAAGTTGTCAAAATCCACACCACTACGTAAGCAGGTGAGCTCACATTTCACACGGCTCAGCATCAGTCTAGAAAGTTTTAATTTGGAGTCGAACAAAGAGGTTGCTTATGCAGTAGCATCATACTTTTACTTTGTAACCAGCTGAAGAGGTAAGATTTTATAATCCTGGGGTTTTAAAGAAAATAATAATCAGTACCTCTGTCATACATCTGTACTTTACCACTATTGGTATTCTCTGTACTATTCTCTGTTTTCTTTCGTCAGGACCACAGGATGAAAGTACTTGTTCAAAATTACAGAATTATTCTGAGGGTGTAGAATATATGCATGCAGTTTGTTTGGATACTTTGGTTTTTTTCCTGTATCAGAGGAAATAAGCAAATAAACAGTGGAATTTGTCTTATGCATAATAGGCAGACTGTCAGTTCAGTTTATTAAATATGCTTTGGTGAATTTCAGAGTAGGGGTAAAACACATCTGTAGGCTCTCTTGCAGGTAGTTATTTCCTGACAATCTACTAGCTTTTTTGAAAATATGCACAAATGCATTAAAGTTGGTTGTAACTGTGATGATAAATATGTATGAGCAATACTAGTGTATCTAGGGTTTTATTTCATACTAATTTAACAGAAATACTGTATTATTTAACATAAGATATATCTCCTTATTTTTTTCCTGACATTATATAGAATGTTTTATGTGATCCTTTAGCACTGACCAGGAAAATAATTTTCAGAAAAAAATCTATTTTTAAATAAGAGTTGAAGTACATAATATAAATATTTTGAGGGTTTTTTTAAGTATTAAAGAAAAAGAAAAATACTTTAAAATTTCATTAGAAATAACTTCAAAAATGCTGAAGGTGCACATTTTAATTTAGTACTGCGAAATCAGTTGGAAGAAGGTGGTGAGATTTGAGATACATCAAGAAACTTCAAGAGCACACATATGTGTTCTGAAACAGAAATAAGGACTTTTCCACAAGTTGTAGGTGGTATATTATAGCAATTAAATTTGTAAGCTCACATAAGCTTTTGCATTAACAGCTGTTAACACTCATTTTAAAAATCCACAGCTCTTCTACAGTATCGGCTGCTCAGTAATTTAACTCTTCGGTTAAAACACCTGAGACAGCCAGGGTGGGGGTTTTGCTGTTCTGTTTCTTGGTTGGGTTTTGGGGTACTGTTTTTTGGCTGTTTTTTTGTTTTGCTTACATTTATCTACCTTGCACCAGCTATTAGCCAGGATGCATACTTTCTGTGTTCTGATGTTTACTACTGCTGACAGAACCAGGTCAGTGTCATTCCAAATCATCTTCCTTAGTCCTCCATAATGCTGGATAATACAGCAGCTATGGTATTATAAAGATACACTGTATAGAAACATACCATGTTTCTATAAATAAATCTGTAAATTTGTCTCTTGTCAGTCCACTGTCAGGCATAAACACCAGTCTTTGCTATCTTTTGTTTTATAGTATCTGTGAATTTAGTGAGATAGTTTCATGCATTTGCAGAAAATAATAAATAAAAGTATGAAACATAAAAGGAATAACTATTTTGTAATATGTTTTAATAAAATGTCTAATTGAATTTTCAGATCATGTAACAGTATGAAAAACAAGAAAGGGGGGGTGGATGAAGATTACATGAGAAAGCATAAAAAAGAGCAAATAGAACTTAAAGTAGTTGAATATAGTTCACAGCTACTGCTTTATAGCTATATTAATATTTTTTTAATTGTAAGTTTCCTTATTTGAATCAATACTCTATTAAGCAGTTCTCCTCATAATGGCATCTAAATCCCACCAAAGTTATCTTTGAAAAGAAAAATAACCTGTTTTTCAAACCTTAATATAACTAAAAGATTTTTTGAAATGAATGTATTCTGAAAAGATTTTAACTGTCCAAACTGTTAATGATATTTACAAATCAAAGAATTTGAGAATTTAAAATTAGTAAGTATCTTAAGAATCAGCTTTCCACTTTGAAGGCACAACATTAAGCTAAAAGTGGTAAATGCAAAAAACTTGGAAACAGCCATTAATAAAGGGTAAGGATGTGAAAGAAGGTGGGTTAGAGAAGAGCTATCTGGGTTACTATACGCCCTTCAGATTCTCAGGTTAAAGAACTTATTTACCTACTCAGAAGTGGGAGTAACTCATGTTTCAGGCTTAGTTGGACAATTCTGAGATCAAATGTGCCACTGAAAACTTCCCCAAAATAAGGAGGTATAGTGTGCTTCTAGGTGTCCTTGTGGAAGGAGGTGAAGGGATATAATTTACTTGCACATGTTTAGCTATTTCCCCAGTTGTTTGAATGATAAGAATCTTGAGTTAATGTCATCTTCTATTCAAAGAACCTAATGAAATACAATGAAAGTAGCAACTGGAGTTTTGCACTTGAAGGTAACATTTCTGTTCCTGCGTCTCTCCCTAGCCTGCTGCGTGGCCACAGGTTAGTCACAACCTCTCCAGTTTTCATTCGTCCAGACTGCTGTTTACCTCAGGGCATGTTGTGAGGCACACCTGATAAATGCTGTATGACATTTGGATATCCTTTCATATACCTAGTGCTGCCAAAACTGCGGATAGTGAGAAATGGATTTCATAAGTAGAAGATGACTGACAGCTAAATTACTCTGATAGCATCTGCTTAATTAGTATGGAGCATATCCTTAGCCTAGACAGTGGTTGACAAGAAAAAATAACAAAAAAATATAATTTATGAATATTTAATGTATCATATTCTTCTGTACAGTGTATGTTTAGAATGCTGTATGTATAATCAGTAAAAGGGAATATATTAGTGAGAAAAATCCATTTGTATTTACAACACTTGAAGTGTTGTACAAGGCCTGATTCACTGTTACCATTCACCTTCAATGGTAGCATCATAGGGTGCTAGATGCTATTTTTGAGACAGTATTATGATGGTTGCACTGGAAACAGCAGTAACTGCATTATTCAGTTATTTATTCTTGTATTTTTTAATGTAAATTATGTTAAATTTTTGGCACTATCCTAGTTTCATATAGAGGTAACAAGTTATTTAATAATAATCACGAAAGTAATAACAGTAATAGTAATAATAATAGTAATAATAATTCTTTCACCATAAAGGAGGGAATTCCACACTGAATCAAACCCAAAGCAATGTCTCCAAATTGAAATCTTTCAGCTGTGCAGTCACATTCATCTTGTTGCTGTTTTCAGGTAGAGAGATAAGATGTTTAATACTGATAATTATGAAGGTAATTACTTTTTTTGCATGTAAATTTTCTCTCAGTTTATGTGACATTACTATTTTTGGCTTCTTGAAATCAAGGATAGCTGAAGAGAGATGTAGTACATCTGCTGATGTCTTTTATTAGCCATACTGTAAGAAGTTACAGCAAGTTTTGGCAGTCAGACAATAAGCTAACTCATGTCTCTTCTGTCTTATTTAGATAAGGAATCTCTGGCACTTATCTCATTGCAGGAATGGCTGTTACTTCTATTGTACTTAATATGTCTCCTGCTTCATTAATTTGTTAATGAATTTTTGTTGCATGTGCATGCATCAAATACTGTGTTCAGTAAAGATGTAAAGATCCTCTGCACGACAAGAGAAGTGAAGGGGAATCTTTCCCTTCTGTCCTTTAATATCAAGTTTTACTCAGTACTAAAAACCAGAATATTAAATATGAATTTCTGTATTACATTCCTAGTATACTTCTCAGTTTCCTAGATTTGTAATTTTGGTTTTATTTATACCCATATACGTAGATGCATAGCTCTACCATATAGGGCCTCATGAGAATGACTCTCTATAAAACCAAAGCACTTCTCTTTATCAGTCCCTGCTGATTATTACCTCCAGCATTATTTTTACAGTAACTGGGATCTCTGGCATTTTAAACAGAAATGCTGGCATAAGAAGAGCCACAGAGCTCATTAAATCCCTCTGTATTTAGATTTATCAGCCTGTATGTGAGTGGTTTATATTGTAACAATTGTTACTTGCTGATATGGGAATCTGGGGCACCTACTTATTTGGAATCTTTGATGCTGATCCTAAAATGGCAGAAAGGATTCCTTTGGCATAATACAAAACAATAAACACTTCGCTTTCACAGTGTTATGAGACCAGCAAAAATGTTTTGTGATTTTTCTATAGTATTATTTTAATCTGAAGATCTAACAAGGGCAGAAAATGCACAAACCGGTTGACCCGACAGCTGGAAGAGGTTCTTAAATTCTCTTCTTTCACTCTTCCTGCTTTCATATCATACACCATATTGTAGAGATCTGTAACTACAGCAGTTGTTTAAAAAAAAAAAAAAAAAAAAAAAAGAAAGAAAAAAGGAAATAACTACAGACAGTATGTTACAAGCTAAATGTAGTGTGAGGTGTTAGTCATAGTGATCATTCTTTGGATTACCGAACTCTGACTGACCATGGTAGACATGATATAATCTGTGCTTTTACATACACCACACATTACATGACTGAGGCTGCAGAAGGCAGCACCTCTTTACGCATGAACTCTTCTAAGTCCACATGTGGATCATCAAGGTCTAGGCAAAGAAACTTTTCCACAACAGACTTGCATTTTTCCATCCGATCTCCTTTTGAAGGATCATCAATACGTTTGATAGCTTTCCCATTGCGAATCAGTTCTGACACTTCCACTCCTCTTTCAATAATTTCCTGCTAATGCAGCAATGTTGGCAGCATGACTAACAGTGGACATGCCCTGTTTGATCTGATAGAAAAATATCAGCTCATCTCCATCCTGGTGGGTCTCCATGGTCAGGAACTCCAGAAGAGGTGTGTCAGGCAGGAGTTCTAGCTGCATTAAACTGTGAAAATTAGTGGAGACAAAGACCTGTGGACACTGTGTTCCTTGTCTGATCCAGTACTTCAGGACAGCAGCCAGAAGGGACAGGCCGTCCAGTGTGTTGGTCCCTTTACCAAACTCATCAATAAGTACCAAGGACCTCTCTGTGGCATTGTTTACTGCCTTGGCAACCTGGTTGAGGTCAATCATGAAAGTGGAGAGCCCTACAGAAACCGATTCCCTACTGTGGATTCTTGTGTAAATCCCATCAATTGTTCCAATCTCTGCCTCTGCTGCCGGGACGTAACTGCCAATTAGAGCCATGAATACTATAAGACCTACTTGCTTTAAGTAGACACTCTTCCCAGATGAGTTGGGTCCTGTGATGATCTTTATGCGTCTGGTGGCCTCTCCACTGTTCACTGAATTGGCCACAAAAGTCTTTGCACATAGTTCCATGAGTGGATGTCTTCCATCCTTGATGTGGAAGCCATGGCGGTGAGTAAAGCGTGGCCGGCAGTAGGCATTCTCCCGGGCCATCACTGCCAAAGCCAGGAGCACATCCAGGTGTGCAGTGTACTCAATCACGCTGTTAAGCACTTCAGACTTCTCCAAGATCTTTGTCTGCAGCTGGTGCATAATAAGTGTTTCCTGGTCTCTGATCTCACAGTGCAGGTCACCCAGCAGGCTGTCTAGCTCCTTAGTCCTAGCACTTCTGTAGTGCAGCTTATCCTCTGACAAGAACATGAAGTCCAAGCCTTCGATTTCAAAGTCATTCTTATCCACCATAGTTGGCAGCCGTGGAATGGAGAGGAGGAACCCAATCAAAGGAATGTAGATCACACAACAGGAGGGAATATGATCGTCTAAATCCTCCAGTTCTTTTCGTGCTACTTCTGTAAGGAAGTCTGACAGGCCCATCAACTTTCGTTTCTTCTCATCGATGATGGGGTCCACATTGGGTTTAACAGTGAAGCGGCTCTCTGAGATGCTGCCTTCAAAGTCCACCACTTTGCTGATTAGACTAGCAATGTAGTGCAGATCATCAGTGAAGACACGCGAAATAGTCTGAAAGAGTTCAATAGTGTTGGGCAGAGAGCGACATGTATCTCTAAGACACAGTGCACTGCACGCTGTCTTGTAGAGTGCTTGCCAGTCAGTAACTTTTGTGTGGTAAAGAGTCATTCTTTTTAGAATAAGAGGCACATTTTTAATATTCTTGAGACAACCTTGAAGAGTGAGGACTGTTTCATGATGCTGAGCCTGCAGGAAGAAGTGAATAACATCCAGCCGTTTGTTCAGCTCTGTCAAGTTCCGAGTAGGTCGTGTGAGCCACAGCCTCAGCAGTTTTTCTCCCCACTTGCACCTGCAGCGGTTTAAAATTCCATATAAACTGAATCCTTCTTTTAATCCACTGGACAGCTTGTACACAGAAGGATGGATATCGCTTTTAAATATCTGCAGGACACAGTAAGTGTCTTGGTCCATATTCACAATCTCTGACAGCACAAACTTTTTAAAGGCCAAAATAGGAACTGCAGTAGTGCTTTCTTCAAGCTCTACTCCAACCCTTCTCCTGTCTAGAAACTTAAGGAGTCCCCCTAGGGCTCGTATCATGAGTGAGCTCTCAAAAGGGATGACTGAGGACAAGTAGAGAATTTTCTCTGTTGCAGTCATATGAGATGGGATGAATGGAAATTGCCTAGATAGGATCCGTTGCTTGCTGACTTCTAAGCCAAAATCTATGTTAGGAAAAAGGACAATTTCTGGTTTTCGTATGTCTGCATC